ATTAGATAAATGGGTTTAGAGCTAGAGCTTACGCATTATTTCTTCGCGAGAGGTTAGCCAGAGTCTATATACCCTCCCGGACTCGACGCGTTCATGGCGGTCGTTGAGAAGCCGACCCGCCAGCTCCAGACATGCAAAGGCCATGGTTGCTGAAGTCTGTTTTAGAGGAGCAAAGGTTCTGTAAAGGTCAAGACTCATGCCATACGCGACTCGCGACGTTTTCGAATTCTTGTCAAAATTAAAATGCTTTATTAGTTTGATAAGTGGCTTTTGGGGATGGCGGTTGCGAAAGTCAAATCCCGATGACTCTAGCATAAGCCGTTCCAGGCCAATTATCCCGCGTGAATGGGATTCAAACAACTGTGGCGTATTATCAAGTCAGTGAACGCGGAAAATCGGCTGGTTCCACTCAAGGAGGAAACCTACCGGATCATCTGCAGAAAGGTGTTCTGCTGGCGGAAGCTTGAGATTATACGCTGAGCAGAGGATATCACGCGATTTCTTGAGAGTGTCCTCAATCTTACACGCAATAAAGAGCGCTGCTGCTGCCGCATCCTTTTTTTAAGGTCAAGAGTAAGCGTGAGAAGCCAAAAATTTGATAAGGAATCAGACATACGAGATAGTTGTACTCGCTTTCCGGGTGTACAAGCCTGAATTTATGATAGTAAATAGCCGCAGTGTTGAAAGTGCGGACTGGTCTGTACCGGATATATCAGTGGTCGAACGGCTTAAAAGAAGAATAAAAGAAATAGAATAAAGCAGGAAATGGATTGAAAGCCCACATACAGATGAAGAGCTTTCCGGAAATTATCGATCCAGGTGACGCCCTGGAGTCGAATGTTGTCTTCCCTGAGCTGGTCAACGCCAGTGGCTGCTATACATTCATGGACAGTCCGCTCAAAGACATAGGGCTTCGCAACCTGGATGTAAGAGGGATGGGGTCCTGCAGGCGGAGGAATAGTTGGATGAACATTATTGCTTGTATCATGTGGCGCGGCCTCACTCCTCGCAGGCGCCATTTTCTAGGTCGTTAGAGGAAAAACAGTCACAGACATTTATCTTGTCATTGCCTCTGTCTCTGCACTGGAAGGTAGAACAAAAAGTTCGTGAGGTCGGACCTGGCCGGGATCAAAGGTTTCTCCGGATAGCTTACTGGACTACATACAATCGCTTTCCTCTAACACTCCACCAGACCATTCTACATAATTCTTGGACAACTCAGAGAGATTTCATAAAGTACAGAGAGAGAGGCGAACATTTTATTAAGACAATTTCTAGCACGATATCCTTGGTTTCGTTTAATCTTCCCTCCTCTGAAGCCCTATCTCATGACTTGGGGTTTGGCATGCTTCGCAGATGTTCGCTCGTGGTTTAGGAGCGCCGTTTTATCCACGAATGTACGAGTGCATATTCTGCAAAAATGGTGTGATTTTGCTTTATGAGTCGCCAGGAGATCAGGTGTCGAAAAAGAAAGTTTGCAGCCACGGATCTGGCATTTGTGTTTATGAGCAACTCCCTTATGGCTTTTCTCGCTCACCTTGTCTACGAAGACTGCCTCACATTGTGAGCAGACACCATGATTCCTCTCTCGTTGGTGGGCGTCTCGATGGTCTTCCGTCATGAATCCCATTCCACAGATATGACAGGCGAAGCTGGTTGCATTATGGACATTGACGTGTTTTGCATAGCTTGCTCCGTCTTGGAAATAGCGCCCGCATTCGTTGCAATACGCGTGTTTGGTTGCAGTCTGGTGCATGACCCGGCTTTGCTCGGTTCCAAAGCTGGCATTGCAGATTGGGCATGCAAACTTTGTGCTTTTATGAAGACTGAGGTGCTTGGCATGGCTCTCGCGGTCCAAAAAGTAGCTACTACACTCTTTGCAATACCCGTGACCAGTCTGGCGTTGATGTTCTGCTTTTTCTTCCCAGGTCTTGTATGTCAATGCACACTCTATACATTTGAAATTGTGGACCAACTGAATGTGGTGCTCGAATAGCGAGCGGTCGTTGAAGAAGCTGAGACAAACTTTGCAATAATTGTGCTCGTACATGATCTGGTGGTGCTGGAGACCGATAAGCGTGCTGAAGGCAACATCACAATCGAAACAAATGATTCGCACTCCAGGATTTTCTTGCTGCTTCGACTCTGAGCCCTGATGTGGTTGAAAAGGATCCACCGCCATGGAAACTGCTGGGCCTCCGGATGGTTTCGTTCCGTTGTGTTTGACCCTCTTAATTCGATCTGAATTTTCAGATTGCGGCGTATAAATGCGTGTTGGAGCTCTTGAACCGGGGGACATTCTTTCACCGGTATTCTCAGTTTTCTTGTTATATACTGCCCTCTCGGATTTTGCAGCTCCCATGCTCTCTGAAGTTTCATTGGGCACGTCATTCTTCACCTGGTCAGAAACTGTGGAAGGAAGATTGGGTGGCATGCAATCCTCAGCCACTTTCACGAGAGTGGCATGTTCCTCTTGCTGAGTTCGTTTCCTAATCGACGCTATCAGCGCGTCAACTGCTTTGTCTAGATCGCTTTGTTTCTCGTCCGGTCCATCCGGTCCATTAATATCTATCAAGCCTTCCCCTTTTTGGATATCCGAGTCTGGGGTATTGGGTGGAGCCGGTTTTAGAACTTGTATACTGAAATCGCCACCCGGAGGACTGCACGCTTGTGGGGACCCATTCCCTATATTGCGCCGGCTGGCCTCCCTGTCAGTCGCCTTGACAGCTAAAGAGGTAATATCACTGGCTCGTTCAGCGGTAATTTCGTTGCCCATATTGTTGTACGCAGAATCACCAACAGTTTCGGATCTCCCTTGGAGAAGCTCCAATGTTGTTGCAATATCGGCATTGTGCTTCATTCTCCGGCCTTCTTCGAATTCCCTGCCAATATATAGATGTACTGTGTCAGTGATATCCGATGTCTCGGGGACCAAAACGATATCCTTATTTTCAAGTGGGTTTTACCTGGGGTGGACGAGCCGTCGATGACTTCTTAGAGTACACACGCTATCAAAAATCCCAGTGCAATTACAACACTGCAGTGCTCGACCTGTCAGGGTGTGGTGAAGGTAATTCTGGTGGAACTGCAAGCAGATCCCGCAGATCTTGCATTGGAACATCTTGCAAAGTGGAGTGAGACTGCAAACTGCAAGGTTCGAGAGGGAGTGGAGAATAAATACACAGGGGTTGTCTCCAGGGTGACGGTCTCTACGATGCGCAGCTCACGCACGCGAATTGAGCATATAACCTTGGAAGACTCTCCGTCCTGAATGTGAACAAGGTCAAAGTAGGGAAACCTTACCTGCTAAGAAAGAAGAGAAATAGTAAACTGTATGAAATTCGATTTTGGCTCCTGGGAAGAAAAGGATCTTTTTAAAGCAAGAGGCTATTTCTTGGAGAAACGTGTCCGGTACTCGCAACAACAAGACGTTGGCTTGTGGAGGTTTCCAGAGCTATCTTGCATATGTTTTCTTCCTGTTATATTTTCTGCCCGCTAGCAATCTAGCGAATTTCTCTTTGTACTGTACAGCTACAAACTCTTTTTCCATTGTGAATACTGACTAGGACGCTGACTGATCAGGCAACAAAGATGATATCTACAACATTCTCCTTTTGCAACGAAACTCGGGGCTACAAAAAAAAAAGAGCATTTCCCCATGTTTTTGCCAGTGGGCCCCTTTCTTCGTTTTTCAGCGCCTGGTTGGCCCCGCTGTCTGAGACTAGGTCCAGGGAGTGAGTTGAGGATGAAGGATGAAGGAAGAAGGTACTAGATGATGATGAATGGTTGAGAGCGGTTTGCTCTCGACTGCAAAGATAATCTCGTAAGCTCTCAAAGTCGCTTTCGGAGGGTACAAAAAAAAAAAAAAAAGGAAAAGGAAAGAGATGATCCACGAACGTCTCTGAAGGGAAAAGTCGCTCTATCCATGGATGGGTTTCTCATTCAAGCCAGAGCCTGGCTTGTGGGGACTGCTGTTTTTTCCATTCTAGATTTGTTCTTCGATAAAGTATTTCCCTTCTCAACCGCCTTTATTAACCTATCACGAGTGGTATTGCACATACATATGCTTCGCTTCACCGTCCTCGCAGATAATTTTGAAAAGCTTTGAAAGAATCACAAGGGCATTGACGTGGGCTGCCAGACCCAGCATGAAAAGATATTTGAATCAATGCTATGCGATCATCCAGAACGACCTAAAGAAAAGAGTAACGAGGCACAGGAACTATCCAAGTAATCCAAATGGAGATATGAGAATGAGGCTGGTTGCTATTGTCGGCTAGTAACACGGTCAGTTAAGGTATAATGCAGAATCTTGTGCTTGAGGTCGTACCTCAATCCGTTTCAGGGCACCCATAGGTAGCCAGCTTGTTCAGTTGTAGCAATCCCTCCCTGGGCGCCGGTCGTCTCAACTGCATGTTTCCATCTTTCCAGACTGCCAATGCGGTAGAAACAATAAGGTCAACCAACGGCAAGAGGGCCATTGCCGAGCTTGGCCCTTTTGGTGACAAATCCATCCAAAGTTCGGCAATTAGCTCCCACTACCGAACCACCACAAAAAGCAGTCAATACAAGCGCGGATTGCATCATGGACCAAGTGACCCAGCAACAGGTGATCGTTTCTCAGTATTTTGATTTCTAACGGGTAGAATCCGGGCCTAGCCGTGCTACATCCAATTACGAGCATAGCCCCTCACTGACCTCCATATATATCAACCTCAGAGCGTATATATACATTGGCGATATTCTCCTTTTTGGCTTCGCAACTTCTTACTCTCTGTCAATTTATAACCGAGGCCTTCCGGTAAAGACACCTTAATCCCAGTTTAACTTCTCCGCAATGCCGCAGGTCGTTCGACATCCCGTTGCAACTGGTGCCGCAAAGGCTCTTGCAGACAAACATGTCGCTGAGCAGCCATTGAAGTTATACGCTGGCTGGTTTTGCCCGTGCGTTTCCCATATTCTTTGCGTTCTGCGTTAAAGTACTATGCTCAGTTCCTAACTTAACTGCTAGATATGGTACGAAATGAACAAAAACCGCACCATTCAAGACAAACATTGCATAATATCTATCTACCCTAGACAACAACTAACATCGAAAATCCTTCTCCCCCTCAGTTCAACGCACATGGATCACTCTCGAAGAGAAAAAGATTCTCTACCAATACATCGAAACAAACCCATACGACAAGTCTCCCTCCCTTCTCGCTTTAAACCCCAAGGGCCTCGTGCCCACTATTGGCGCCCCCCTGCCCAATAATCAGGGCACAAAACCCCTCTACGAATCCAACATCATCAATGAATACCTCGAAGAAGCCTATCCGGATCACACTCCACATCTCCTCCCAAAGGGCCCATTCGAGCGCGCCCGCGCCCGCATCTGGATCGACTTTGTCGGCTCCCGCATCACCCCCAATTACCGCAAGATTCAATATGCCAAGAGCACAGAGGAGCGGGACGCGGCGCGCGCAGAGTTCCTAAAGGCTGTTAAGGAATTCACGCGCGAGATGGATCCGGAGGGCCCCTATTTCCTTGGCGAGGAGATTGGGTTGCCGGATATTGCGCTGGCGCCGTGGGTGGCGAGATTCTTTATGGTGGAGAAGTTTAAGGAGGGCGGGACTGGGATCCCTGCGGAGGGCGAGGGAGGGAAGGACGAGGGTGTTTGGCGTCGGTGGAGGAAGTGGGAGGCCGCAATTAAGGGGAGGGAGAGTTTTAAGAATACGTTCAGTGAGAGGGTGTATTATGAGAATATAGCGACGCAGGAATGGGCACGGTGACTTTTATCTCTTTCCTTCCTTTTGTTTATTTTTTATTACTCTTCTTCTTTCCTTGTCGTTGTACCCCGCCATCCCTCCACCTATCTTTTTTCCCCTGAAAAACTGGCTGTTATAAACTCGCATAAATGGTTTCCAATTTGTTTCATCCTGCTTATTTAGTTCTAGGATGGCCAACCTCACTCTTTCGCGCATTTAGTTCACTTTACTAGGCAATATCATAGCCAAGAGACAAGGTTCTTACAAGGAACCCCACAGAGTACCAGTTGTGCATGCAGTACGTGGTGATGAATGACGTTTTCACTGAAATATAACTTCGCGATCAAAAGCTGATGAAACGCACCCTGACAGATGTCAAGAAATTATATTCCTACCCTATATATATATACATATTATATGGAAGTTTACTCAATTTATTATGTACGGGACGGTGTACAGTATGCAGCGATCTTTGAGCAGAGAAGGGGGGAAAAAAAAGGGGGGGGGGGGGGGGGAGAGCTAGAGCAAAACCTTGCTCATACCATTAGATCACAGCAGTAACAGGAATATCTGCTGAATTATGCAGGTGTGTTTATTTTTCGAAGGGAGACTTGAACGACAGCTGCTGCGTCGGCAAAGGGGTCATATCATACTGAGGATAGCAGAGGTAACATACAAGTATATATAATGCATAGATAAAGGAAGCAGAGAAATGAATGGTAAACAGCAACACTTCAAATCTGCAAAATCCACCTTTGGATATAAACTACAGCAAGAAAGAACCACAATGCAAATTATTGGATATCCCATACGGCGCCCCGGCATTCTCATCCCATACGCCCCTCTGTGTTGGATTTTAATTTTAATTTTAATTTTTTTTTTTTTTTTTTTTTTTTTTCCCTTTCGCCGCAACTAACCCCTTTCCTTTTAGTTTCCCTGGATTCCTGCGTTGTGTACGGAACTAGAAGCTTAGCTATAATTACAGCCAAAAATTTTGAAGAAGAAAAGAATTACGCTCAGATTAGGCATAAAACGGGCTGTCTTGAAGTGTAATTGGGAGGAAAGATCAGAGGGCGAGGAGATGTGGTTGCGAGCTATAAGAAGTGGTTCGGTTCAACAAAGTGTTCCTAGACGAATAAGGGCGAAGATTTTAGTGGTTACAAAATGGTAGGAAGGTCGCAAAACCGAGTACGATAATGAAAGCTTCATCGTAGGCTATGGATGAATGCTATATAAGCTGTGAAGGAAGACAATAACAAACTTATAAAATAGCTGTATGAGGGAGAAGTGAAATGAAGGGAAAGGAGGAGTGGGTTAAACCCTTCAAAATAGGTCTTTTTAATATAAAATAAAAATTCTAGTGGTAAAAATAATAAAAAGGAAGGAAAAGGGAAAAAGGAAGAAAAAAAAGACCCGATTAGTTGAGTTACAATACACACTAGCTCCCCATTTTCATTGTATGATTTCATGGATTTAGTGATGAGGTCACTGAAGCAAAGCATGCATCAAGGATAGGGCGGTTTTGGTCCGCTCTTTCACATCTGATTCGGCGTCGTTCTCCAAACTAAGGAGCTTTTCCATCACGCCCAGGCTCTCGAGTTTCATAGCCCGCTCGCAGCAGCTGGCATGATCCATTTGATCGTCTGCAATTGTTAAATTGATAACTACCCACACGCAGTTCACTCGCACCTGTTTATCTGGGTTGTTGAACAGGGGCATCATAAGTTTTAATAAAGTAGGGTGTTGAATTAATAGCTGCCGGTGTCGGGGCAGGCCAGCGGCGATATGGATCACAATATATGTGACAGAGCAGAGAATCTCTGTTGGCACGGGGATGCACTTGGACGAAGAGGATAAGGAATCTTTGCGGCCGCCGTATTTAACAATCGGCTTTGGGCGTAACTTGTCTGCAAGAATGTTGAAGAGGTCATTTTGACCCACTTCCTGGAAGAGATAATCGATCATTTCTGGTGCGCCTACGCCACAGATCAGGTTTCGGAGCAAGTCAAGCGTCTGTTCTTGAACTTGCAGATCATCCCGTCGAGCTTGTTTCGTTTGATCAAGGTCGCCACTAACAGCAAGCTTCCGTCGTCTGGAATAATCAATGAGGGAAACATCAAGGCTTGTTGGTTTGGGCGACACGACGGTATTTGTCATGTTATAGTCCCCATCCTGGCCTGGTATTGTTTCTCCTTCAACCCCATCCATAGGGTTGAGAATGTCGACTCGTTCTCCAGCGGAGTTCGGCGCCTCCATTCCAAGAGAAGATGTACCACCCATGTCATCTTCCCCTTTCCTCCGGATTGGCGGGTCGCCTGGGTCGTGGCAAATGACCTGCTTTAACCACCCGGGTTCCAGTTCTTCAACTATCTTCATTTTAATGTCATTTGTGGAGTTGTAAGCAATATGCTTCAAAGCCCAAATGGATTCTAGTCGTAGGCTAGTATTGGATGAGTGTGAATGCTCGCAAAGTATGGGTATCATGTTCGCTCCTATAATGGCCTAGAACACGTACCATGGTTAGTGTCAAGGTGGCAGAGCGACAGAGGAATCGGGGAAGAAAGGGACATTCCCTATATAATGTATGTAAAGAGAGATGACAAAAAGACAAAGGAAACAAAACATTTGGCATACATCTTTCATAGGACTAAAGTCCATTGCCAGATTGCACACCACGGACGTTGCGGCAATCTGTACAGCGATATCCCGAAATTTGATTAATGTGAACATTGGAGTAGCCACACCAGCGTCGATCAAGTTTGTCCTCAGGGCGCTCACAGATCGTGTAAGAGACCTTGCAGCTGCACATGCTGCAAGGAGCGTTGAAGGCGGGTTGCAGTCGAGTGTTTCTAGAGAATCCTCTTCACATGGCTTCATTGAATCAATAATATATGGCACGACGCCATTGTCGCAGATCATTCTTCGGTAATCCTCCTTAAAAAGCGACAATGCAGCGAGGGCTTTCAGAGCTCCTTCGCGAACTTTCATTCTGTGGTACACCGCAGGAGAGCAACCGCGAGGTCCAAGGCATAGTTCTGGCTGAGTGGGGTTTGACGTTGTGGCAAGGTTTTTATCTGAATTCCACATAGGCTTTGCTGCCTCAGAAATCGGACTGAAAGTCTCTTTAAGCATTTGAGAGAGCTTAGGTATCGCCTCGGCTTCCGCTGCATGCTTTTGGAGTTCACGGCTATCCATGACTAGCGACGCAAGAATCGCAGGCGCCTCTTCTTTGGCTCGTAGGGTTGTCGATATCAGCGCGCTTTCATGAATACTGACATCTCCAGGCGCTTCGTAATCCTTCTCAAATATGCGAATTAGGAGTGGGATCAATAAGTAGCCGAACATTGGCACTCGATGCTTTTTTGCTAATCCTAACCGGAAGAGAAGCGTTGCCAGCCTCGCCGCTACGAGACGAGTCTGACTCGACTCAGATCGGATAACGGTAAACAGCCATGATATGAGGGCACTTTCATCCTCATCTGATGAGGGAGTTTCCGAAAAAGAAAGGGGAGGACTAAAGAAATTGCTCTGTCTCCCAAATGAGGTGTGAGATCCGAGAGGCGGAAAATTCGAGTTTTTAGATTGTGCAGCTGGGACAGAGGGTAGGATTGCATCGATTGGATTCGTGGCACTGTGGCGAGGAACGGCGAACCCTGAGAAATATGTTGCCCCCCATGGAGACTTTTTGATATCATTAGGGGAAAATTCAGGGATCTGCTTAGGAAAAACGGCTACCACCGCGGGGGATGAGACAAAGTGCTCTGCGCGAGACTTTGAATTTTCGATTATTAAGGTAATGGCTCTGAGAATAGGAGCTAGTTGCGCGTTTGGCGGTGCAGCAGGTGGCAAGGTTTTCAGAGCGCCAGAGTCCATAATATTATTCTCAGCACCAGGAAGAACGAATCCCTGGGCAACCACAAAGGTAGAAAGTTTGAAAGCCAGTGCATCCAGCACACCGGACTCCCCCAGAATAGCCTTGTAACTCTCTTCTGAACATGTTTTTGCAATTAAATTGGCAGCAAGGGTAACGGGCCGCTGGCTAGAGGAGGATGTCGAGCCAATTAGAAGTCTACGAAGAGTCTCAACATGGTCTCGAGAGTAGAGGAGGGAAGATAGCTGTTTCGCATGTGGCAAGCTTTGCTGCTGGTATAACGGGAATCTATCTGCGATTGTATTGAGAGTCTCAAGGACGGCAAGGAAAAGTGATGGATGGCAGTCTGGTGAGGAAAATATTGATAGAAGCAATGGGAAAATCCCCCCTGCGGCAATGGGAGAGATGAATGGAGGACCCCCTATTTTACTGACATTAGAACCTCAGAGATTATTTGAGGAAAATTGAACTTTAACTGCAATGATATATTTTTCCCTCAAGGGGGAGCAGCAGAAGAAGGAAACAGCAAGCTGGACTAAAAACAGCGTACCTTGGGCTAAGCTGCCAATAATGAGAATGGCTTGTAAGCAGACTTCATCATCATCTGATCTACCGCTCCTGCTCCTTGCCAAATGTTGACGTCTTGTATGTCCATTAACCTCTCCGCCGGTAGTCTTTTTGCCCGCCCCTCTTCGGCCTGCTAAAATCTGCGATAATAACGGAATGATACCCCATCCAATCCAGGCTTCCTTTCTTTGATCATGCCCGATAATCTCATTTTTCAACAGCCGCAGAGCCTCAATCCGTGAAGCAGTTGAGTCGGGATTTTGGATATCAGAGATGATCTGAGGCGTCGCCGCCCTCGCCATCCTAGAAATATGGATCTGCGGCTATGAGATTCACCGGGAAGCTTCTATAAAGTTCCAGACTCCGGGATGCAGAGGAGTAAGATCAAGTATCGAGCTGATGGCAAGAGTTGAAATGTTGGAAATGGCAATGAAAGATCTGGGGACTATCCGATCCTTCGCAAGGTCTCAGGTCAGCAAGATTGATTCCGCGAAATGCGTGCACCAGATAGAGAATACCTGTGTTGCGTGGTAGGAACAGGCGAATGATTGTGAATTGAAAATTCCAATGCCAATGCCGATGGAGGGGCGCTTCGAGGTATTTGCCATATATGAGCAGGTCCTTGCAAGTAAATGTACTAGAAAAATGAAAATGAAACAATGAGACACGATGGTAAAGCTAATTAGATGCGTCTGTGGACTGGGCTGGAGTATTTATGTTGGTTATCGTGGGTGTTGCCGTTGAACTCATATCTAACTATCCCGATGGCATGATGATGTGCTTATATAATGTATTAGTCACGCTGGTCTAGTTGGTGGTCTACTGCCCGCATCTCTGAATTTATTCTCCTTAATTATTCAATCATTTGATCATGTTGTTATATCATACCATGCAGCCCACATTCCATATGTCAACACTATACGTCCATGGAGCTCCTAGAATCACCTCGGGTGCTCGGTAGATATTGGGTTGAATGAATTCTGCATGATGTTGATAGCCCAGTACGGCTGAACCGAAATCACATAGAACTGGGTCGCCCACATCAGCAGGAATTCTGACCTTGCGGGACATGTAAACAGTCCTTCCATCCATGTCCACCTCCTTTCTTGGAATGGGTTGTTGAAGTTCCTCCTCCTCGAAGTCAGTAAAGACTGAATCATCATTGATACCAAAAATGATATTATCCGCCTTTATATCTAGTAGAACGGGTTACTTAACAAAAATACGAACGCATACAGGTGAGGACAGAAGAGGACGTGGTCACGAACCAGTGTGTACGATATTGTACTCCGTATGCATATAATCCAATGCCAAAAAGAGCCGCTAAAGAACGAATGCTATAACTGCTGAAGGCAGTCTCTCTACTGGATTCCGGCGTAAGAAAGTCAAGACACTCTCCCATAACGGAGGATGCACAAGGCATTGATGCTTATCCTCAGGTCCATCAATGTAAAATGCGTCAAGTAATGTTCTTACAGCCTTGCGACCAGGATGGCCTTTCGGAGCTTGATCCATGCATCTAGACATCTTCAGTTCATCATCCACTCGCTGTCCCATAGATGAGACCCGAACAAATATCTTGAGCATAACATAATGGCGACCCCTGCAATTGTAGCACATGAGCATTTGTCCGGGTAGCTATGGTTTAAGTTTGCCTACAGCTTGATATTGCTCCTTGATAACTTCTCATATTCGGGAGGATAATATTGGGACGCAATATAATCCGGAAGGGTTTCTTCTTCGATTTTGTGAGATTCAGGTAATTGGATAAAGTTTGGATTGGAGAAATTGAGCGGCTTCCACCTCTGTCTGAGCAGAGGTAAGGACCGCAATAGTGATGAGAACATGACCTGAAAGAAGGCAGCCGTTGGAAACTTATGGGAATTTATTCATAGATGTTAACTTAAGGTTATTAAGGACGATATGATTGCAAATATTAAAGGATGTTGAAAATCACCGATTCTGGCGACTGCGTTCTTGTTCATGTTTACTGGTAACTTAACATTTGAACCAACCAGATACCAATCAATTGTTTTTGACAGGGGCATCAATCAAAAATTTTTAGAGAGCGCCGACATGGAGATTGTTGTAGGATTACCTCCGAAACAGATGAAAATTAAGGATCGATATGGTGGAGTGGTAAGAATTCACACCGAAAATTCGATATGAATACACTGTACTAGTGATATCCAGATACTTCATTGCCTCCACGTCAACCACAAGACAATTACCTGTAATTAAATGTTGTTATTCTGAGATTCTATAAGTTATAAGTAATTCTGAGAGATATTTTTAATATATTATAAGGATCGTTGTTGGTTCTATCTTGATGTTTTGAAATTCTTACAAATTGTAACTGTCATGCTGCCCCAAGGGCTGGCAGGTCGAAGCATCTTCAAATGTTGACCATATCTGCTGCAAGTGTGGCCAAATCACATTCTTTTCACGTCTCAGAGGTGCTAGAATAGCAATTATTTGATGGTAAACAGAAACCAATGGTTTTGAGTGAAATCTATTTATTTTGAGAGTTGATGATAACTTACTTGGTCCAACAAGAGTTAGCAATGCCACTATGTCATTGGAGAGGCTGGAACTTGTGGCCCAGTTACAGCAAGTAGACGCCATATGTTCTCCAACAAGGCACAAGTCTCAGAGGTGATGACGTACAGAAAACTTGTAATTTAAAATGACAAAACCATACCCACCGCAGCAATATTACGCGGTACAGCACAATCACGTGGACTTGACCCATTATTTCATTGGCCACATGGCTGGGCGGGAGCCACTCAACCAGCCAATGAGCACACAGGATTCTTGTGCACAGACGCTGATTCTCTTAGTCAGTCCTTATGTCATCCTTCATCTCAACAACCCGGCGTGGAAAGAGTCTTGCTCCCGCTCCCCCACGTCCAACGACGCCGGAACAGTCGACTGAGGAACTGTGTGCACGCCCTTCTTCAACCGCCAGCAATAATGCCTGAGTGAGCGGCTGGGACGACCAGAGAATTTGCATCCGGAGCCTGGCGGTTTGTGTCACCCTGCCCCTTCGCATAGCAAGATGCGCCTTTGCGGGACGCCTGTTGGTTTGGAAAGCGCTGGCTTATTGGCTTCTCCCACTTTGCTTTCCACTCCCACTCCTCCTATTACTATTTCTGTTGTTGCTGTTGCTGCTGCTGCTGCGACTCTTGATCCGACTGAGTCTCAGACAGGCTCCCTGGCGCTGTCTCCACATAATTTTAGCAGGGCCTCCGTTTGCCATACTACCATAGCCTGCCCTGCCCACACTGCCCGCCGATTGCGCCCACGTGCTCCA